AGTAAGGCACTTGTTACTAGTAGCGATGCACTTGTTACTAGTAGCTTCTTGTTTCTAATAGCTTCTTGTTACTACTAGTAAGGCGCTTGTTCCTTTGTGAGACTGAATGCTTTGTCCTTGGGCCTTTGGAAACCTCAATTCTACATGACCTGCATTTCCTGAATCCCTGCCTCTTTCTGTTAACATAGAGTTTTGTGGCAAGACCTCAGACCCTTTTTCCTTTCATTGATGCAGCAAGGATGCTACTAGGGGCTCCTGGCATCGCTACTGGGAAAAAGAAGCTACTAGGGGCTCCTGGCGCACATGTCCGCACATCTGAGCCAACCCGGCATTGCTTTCCAAATTGGCACTCGGAGTCGGAGAGGCAGCTGCGTTCATAGGGCCAAACAGACGACGGTTGAAGGCCAAAGTACCTATAACAGCGATGGCCTCCAACCTAATGGCAATGGCTATTACGGAACACTTCAATACCTGTTGAACTCCCTTTCAGACATCAAACAGACTCATCTACTAGGCGTCTTCATTCAAAAGCTTCCGGCATTCTTTGAGTCCGTTCAGAGGATTGAGCCGAAGAAGTATGAACACCTCATTGCAAGCTGTTGGGCTCACACAGAGTAGTTGAAGCCTACATCTGCCCACCCACCAGAGCATTGTCTGCCTTGTCAAGCGAGATGTTGAGCAAGATGCTGCAAAAAAGAAATCGAAATCAAAGGAGTTCAAACAAGACAAGGAAGAACGACCATACAGACACTCGCGACGTCAACGATGAGTTCACGGCCAAACAAACACCGTAAAGCGCCTAGAGGTTCACAAAGCAAGGCCATCTGAACCGACAAATGTTCGACCTTCCCCAACTGTGAGGCCTTAGGCGGACGAAGCAACTCAAGAAGGGCGACAGCTTTGCTTTTCTTTAGCCGGGGCAGGTTGGGGGCCGGTAGAAGAGGCAGGTGGGTTAGCTAGAGGTAGCTACTAGCAGCTAGTAAGCCACTTCCTACTGGACGCCTCACGCTTCTTCGAGGAAGCTCCCCCCGCCGCCCTTCCTTGAAGCAGTGCTCGCACTGTTCATTTGGTTCCTAGTAGCTTCTTGCTCCTAGTAGCAAACATTGTTCCTAGTAGTACGGCCAGGAGCCCCTAGTAGCGTCCTTGCTCCTAGTAGCGATGCCAGGAGCCCCTAGTAGCGATGCCCTTTGTTACTAATAGCTTCTTGTTACTAGTAGCGTGGCACCTGTTACTAGTAGCGTGGCACTTGTTACTAGGAGCCCCTAGTTGCTTCTTCCCTGGGATTCCAACATTCGTCGTATCGATGCAGTGCCGATCAGAGAGAGAGTCAAGGGCTGCAAACATGTAGCAAGCGCCACAAGTTCCCTGGACACCAAGCGCCACAAGTTTCCACGAATCTCCTGTCACAACTCTTCGTTCATTTGACATCTGCCAGCACCTGATGATGGACATAGTCCAGGCATTGGGGCCTTTCATACAGCCAACCTGATTGCGAAATGATAAACAAATCTGGTCCATTGATCCTTCTTAAAACATGTGTGCTTCGCTAACTTGGCAATGAAAGTGAAGCTTCAAGCATTGACTACAATGCCTCAAGAAGAAACCATAATCCTCATATTTGCCCAAGACATGCCAGCCCATCTGAAGCTTGAAGGATAGCTCCTCTCTAGTTGAAGCAAGTTTGCATCCTGGCACGCAGCCAAGCTCTTGCAGCCCCCATTGCCCTTCCGCCATCTCAAAGTGTAGAAGACTGAAAGGCGTGGCACGGCTAGAAAGGCGTGGCACGGATATGCAATTTCCACAATGCACTCGCCAACCAGCAAACTAACGATGAGGAAGCTGCTTTATGCGAACATGCAAAAGTCATTCCTGCTTCTAACAGAAGCCCCCTCTCTCTCTATGTCCCTCCCTCCCTCCCTCCCTCCCTCCCTCACTCTCTCTCTCTCTCTCTCCCCCGACGGCAATGGGCACCCTTGTTCGATGCTTAATGCCCTGCTTGTAGGCCTGCAGTGCAGGCACTGAAACAGGAGTACAAACTAGTAGCTAGTCTAAGTTCAAGTTCAAACTTGAGCCTCAAGAAACGCTGTCCTGCTGAAAATTAACAGAAATAAGAAGGGATCCGTCCATATCGATGTTTGGCTAATTCTCGAACACTTCAAAACAGAATGCAGTCACAGGGGTAAAGCAAGTGCTCCCACTTCAGCCTTCAGCACTAGCGGAAGGGGTCTTCAAGGGCCCGATCTGAACCCCCAAGAGATCCTAAGAGGTGTATCTCGAATGACGTTTTGAAAACCAATGGGACACTCAGTGGACACCTACAGGGCTAGCCTCACGTTCTTTGTCCACCAGAATGCCAAGACCGCCCGGGAGGCTCAAGTACAACTCACCTGAGAGCAAGTCCAAAAGTCGAGGACAGCAAACGAGCGGAATGAGAGGAACGAAGAAGAAGTAAAGAAAAACAAGAAGATAGAAAGAGGCTGAGGGAAGAAAAGGTTAGAATCATTCTGATTGTCTTTATCAACAAAGAAAGAAAAAAGACTCCTGTGCTGTTATGGAAACAAAAGTTTGTGAAGAGGAATGCAGCATTCCTTCCAGCGAAGGTGTGGCCCCAGATTTTCCGAAAGGCTCTCGAGGCGGGGCAGATCGCCACAGCTCCTCTTGTGGGTCCACAAGAGGCTCGGTTCTCGTTTCCTCAGGTCCAAACGACCACAATTGAGACGATAGCGATGGCCTCCAACCTAGTAGTGATGGCCTCCACCCTAAGAGCGATGGCCTCCAATCTAAAGAATTTCGCATCGAGCTGTGATGCGTTGACGGGATCGTTCTAAAACGTTCTACAGATTCTACAGTAAATATCCAGCTGGCTTTGGGCTGGATGCTCACATGGCTGGGTATTGCGGGCCACCGCCTCCCTCAGGCACAGTCCAATTGATGTATTCCTGGCGGATACAAAAGACTGCATTCTGTTTCTTGCTTCCAAAAGGCTCTTGCAGCTGAGAATGTCGTTTTGGAGGATAACGTTGCTTTGCAAGAAATTTCAAGCATCTAGTAGTAACAGGTGCCACGCTAGTAGTAACAGGTGCCTTACTAGTAGTAACAGGTGCCACGCTACTAGTAACAGCATCCAGTTGACACGACTTCGACGTTGAGCACACCAAATTAGGATGTAGTGGTGCATCTACGAACCGACGGCTGGAACAAGAGATCTGCTGTCCTGTGGTGTCTTAATCGAGCAGCACTTGCAATGAACACAGTTTTGCGCATTTATCTGCAGCTTCATGCTGCCATCCGCAGCATCCTCATCTGGAACATACCTTGCATAAAGTTGCAGGAAATGATGCAATCTGCACATCGATGTGTCGATGATCACGCGTCGCTTTTCGATGTGTCGCTTTTTGCGCTCAGAAACTCGTAAACTTTGGCAGGACAAAAGCGACCCTCTGGCCCATCAAAGGTTGGCAGGGACACTTCCAAGGGCACATGCCTAGGTGAGGCAATTGAAACCGAGAAGTTCTTGGTTTAGAGTTTCGCAACAATGCACTTGACATGGCCCAATAGAAACTTGAGAGATGAGTGCATGACAGAACCACATATTTGTCATTTCTAGTGATGGGTCTCACTTGTCTGCTCAGCATTCTTCGAATTCCGTAGACTTGTTACTAGTAGCGATGCACTTGTTACTAGTAGCGTCCTTGTTACTACTAGTAAGGCACTTGTTTCTAGTAGCGATGCACTAAACTACTGACCGTGAGATCTAAACACAATCTCACCTCTTCACCATGTCACTGAGACTCCTCCTTGACCTTCAAATGGGCTGGCTGGTCGTGCTCGTGGTTTACTCCACCTTCGGGATGAGCAGACATTTGAGCAAGGGGGCAAGTAGGTTGGAGGCCGCTATTATTCTATTTTCAGTGTCCCGATGCAATCCATGAGGTCCATGAGGAGACCCACTCCGACCCTTTTGAGCCCGGAGACTTCTGGCCAGGTTCTCCAGAAGGTCAAAGGAATAAACGCCGTCAGGCTTGGGGTATTCGATCTTCTGGCATTCCTGGATTGGTTGAGCATGCTGAGGGGCTAAGTAAAGGCTTTCATCCCCATGAATGCTTGTGTGCACTCTCTTGCTGAAACTTAGTTGCCTTGGCGGGCTTTGTGTATTCGCCTCGGATTGCATGCATATTCCCGACAGAATGCACTCACAAAGCTCAGCAATGTTGGGATGCTCTGTCTGCTTCAAAGTCTATTAAATCTGGTCGCAGTCCTTTTTGGACCAGCGAAATGTCCACGGCTCCTGCAAAGTCCAAGCGAACAAACAGAAGACGTCATGCCGGTGATTCAGCAAAACGGGTAGACAAAAGTGTGGTTGGTTTCTCAAAGTTTCTCAAGACTCAAGAAGATATCCTTGCCCCAGGCCTGATTAACGTCTCAATCAAATGTTCTTCTCTTCGGAACTTGGAGAGTTTTGCCTGCCCTTTAATGGCCTCCAACCTACTAGCAATGGCCTCCAACCCAATAGCGATGGCCTGCAACGCTAGAAGTTCGCAATTGACTCAGTGTACATGGCCGTGAAGTGGACACTCTGCTTGCAGAATTTACTGTTTTCTGTCAAAGAAAGCTGGACAAGTTTAATGTGCAGAGAGCTGCCTGCAAGAACGAACGGACAAAAGAAACAAAAGGAAATCAAAGGGCGACAGAAAAAAAATAAAAAAAACAAAAGACAGTAAATGAAAGGTCAGAAAATTGATTTGTTGAATGTGATGAGTCATGAGTAAAGAAAGAAGAAAAAAAGATCTCTTTGAAGAAGCCTTACCTTTCCTTAGCAGGAGCTTTACCTTCCCTGTTTCCTCTCGTTTTCTTCTTTTGAGAAGAACTGCCATGTTGGCTCCTTGCCACGACTAAGCATCAATGAAAAGCCACCATAGCTGAGGCCTGGGATCATCCCAAGGTGCCAGGCCTCGTTTCGACTTCCGATGCAAAACTCAAACTCGACTAGCTTCTTGTTACTAGTAGTAGGAATGCTCCTAGTAGCGATGCCAGGAGCCCCCAGTAGCGTCCTTGCTCCTAGTAGCGATGCCCTTTGCTCCTAGTAGCTTCTTGTTACTAGTGAGAATGGGCGCAGAAGCTTCCTTGAAAGAAGCGCTCGCACTAATGATTTGGTTCCCTGATTTTTAGGGAAACTTACCGCTAACTCTGTTTACTCCGTGTCCGTGACCACCAAACTGAAGCATCCTTCCCTAATTACGCTGCAAAAAAGTTAAACATGTTTCAGTATCTATTTCAACACCACTCTGACTCTCGGCAAATAGAACCCTGTTCATCTGAAGGTGCTCCAGACAAGATGCGGGTTTGAAGTTCCGCACTCGCGAGAGCTCTTCCCATACCCAGGAGCTGCGAACAGCCTCCTCATACTTTGTCACCTGAAGCAAACAGGTGAATTCAGCTGAAAAAGCCGCATATGAAGGCGGGTGCAATGCAACTGCCTTTGTGACTGTAGGGTTCTTTAAAAGCAAAGATCGAAAGTTCCAGGCGGTGAGACCCAAAATAGACAAAAACATGGTTCAAAAGCCAAATACTAAGTCGTGAATGGTTTCTCTTCACCGTTTCAAAGCAAAATTCTCAAAGCAAAATCTACCTTTAGGAACAACAAGCTGCTAGAAGCAAAGGGCATCGCTACTAGGAACAAGAACGCTACTAGGGGCTCCTGGCCATACTACTAGGAGCATGGACGCTACTCGGAGCAGTGGCATAACAGTGGCACCTCAGGCCCCTCTGCAAGGCCCAGTGCAGCATCAGCGGCGCATTCGCCAGCCAACATGCCTGTCCTTGGTACATCGAACTGACCTCATCGAACTGACCTCTGTTACTAGTAGTAAGAATGCTCGGGATGCTCCTAGTATCGATGCCAGGAGCCCCTAGTAGCTTCTTGCTC